ATTCACCTGATCTTAGTCCTTGTGATTACCATGCTTTCAGAAGCCTGGAGGCCTACACGAAAGGGAAAAAATTCAACAACCGTCAGGAGGTCAAGCATGCAGTGGATGAATGGATCGCTTCACGCCCTTCTTCTTTCTGGATGAATGGCATCAGTGCTCTGCCCAATCGATGGAGGGACGTCGTGGCTAAAGAGGGCCACTATCTCGATTACTGATCTCACCTTTTTGTTGTAGTATTTTTGTGTTGAATAATACGCAAATAAAATTTTCGTCGAAAAAACGTTTCGGGCCCACACGCCTATATAGACATGCGCATGCCAACGAATGAAGACTGACACACCAGGCGCGGTCCGGACGAATGAAACTATTTATCGCGCGAACAGAAGCAGACTTCCAAAGGTAGATTCAGTCCAGTATCTAATAGCCGCACAACTCCATATCTTGGTACGAAAGCAGCTCATTTTAATAAGGCCCCAGAGGCTATGTAAATGGAGGGCTTATTGTACGCAAGCCCTAGAGGTACGGTAAATCGCAATTTGAACGCAGAGCTTTTCAGGATTTGATGGATGACAAGAACAGATGTCTGCCAGTGGGGAAAAACTAATGTATATTTAGAAACAGCACAAATCAGGCCACTCACACAGACACTCACAGGTAGCGCAGCACCTCGAGAAATGTCCGTCAAATTTGATGCCCCGTAAACTTACCAGGTCTCAGAAACTTTGCCTGTTACACAGAACGGCATGCTTTCGCGGCTTTCTGTCACATGTCTGCGTGCTTACCGTCGCGAACAATGGCACGACGCGCAGTACACGGCAAATTAGCGCCGGGGGCAGGGTCAGTCCTATCGTTGTTACTTTTCAAGAAAATTTTTTACGACCCCCCCCCCCCAACGTGGATTTGATACGACCCCCTTTTCCCTACCTCCACCATCTCCATCTCTTCATCAAATAAAACCCCGCCCACTTTTTCCTCCAAAAATGCCATCGAGCGGGGGTATATAGTCACTATAGTCACTTCGAAACGTCAAATATCTCCGAAAATTCCCTTCTCTTCCCACCACTTGAACCCATTTCTTACCAGTACTCCCATCACTTCCTTTACTAGTAGGGGTATATACGCGCGCTGAAAACGGCAAATTTTTTATCCTGCGCGCCCTCCACTCGCCCAGCCTACTACCCACGAAATCTTAGTTTCTCACCTCAATCCCACACGTGATTTCGAGCGACTAAAGTGGGTACGACCCCCCCTCCTACAAACTCAACCAGGTACGACCCCCCCCGTTGTTACTCGTAACAACGTAGGGTTGACCCTGGTTGGGGTTCTAATTCACCTACCGTTTCGAAGCAGACCAAGTCTGCTTTTTCCGAACGTATTTTCAAAGGATCCGCTTTGATGGTGTTTTTATGATCTGGACTAGTTACCTCAGCGTCACTCAAGATATTTTTCATGGACGAGACCTCATTTGAGACTTTTAATAGCAAATATGGCAAAAAAAGGAAACACACAAAAAATAGATGCTGAAAGGCGTCGTTGTGATTCGACTGAAGGAAGACAGTGTTTGTACCCTCCCAGATTGCTAAAGCACTGCATAGTTGTCACAATTAAGACTCCATCTCTAAGATAATCGCCTTAATTTCTGAGAGGCGTTTATTAAGATAAGACGTTACAGTGTAAGACGCAGATATAGTTATTGATGGTGCCTCAAACTGTGAGCCATGGTTTTCCTCGAAACCCTAAATCAGTCACCCTCATAACAACGATTTGTTCATAATCCTTATTCAAAATAGACCGAGAATTTCCGCCAAGAAACTCATTTTTAAGCTCCAGCTGAAAGTAGGCTCTATCACTTGTAACGGTAACGGTTATTATTGCGGAGAACATGAGTTAGAAAGTAGTGCTAGCATTCCGTATGCGTGACTGTTTTGACCTTAAGAGCACTTTTTGAGTGAAATGTAAAGTTAAGGTTATCATATGGAGTGACTGAGGTCCCTACACATAGCGTGCGATACCGACCTATTCCCAAACGCTTACCGGTACTCCGTCTCTGAAACTTTCCATATTCGAACAAACCCTCCTCAAGATCGGTGTATTATTATGCGATCGGTCAGTAGCCTTCGACGTAACCAAATGTTCCTCCTGTGTCGACTATCTTGGTTCAAGGGGTACCGCGAAAGAGGCGCTCGCGCGGGTAGCAAGGCAGAACCGGCGGACGAGTCCCACTGTCACGTGACACTGTTTGAAAGTGGCGGGCTTCCTTTAAACGTTGGGTCCCGCCACTATTGAGTCGCTGGTACCTAGTTCGACTCGCTGGTACATCGTTCGACTCGCTGGCGCAAAGTTCGATTCGCTGGTGCAACGTTCGATTCGCTGGCGCAACGCTCGGATCGAGCGATTCGCTAGCTCGTCGCCAACTTCGTATAATGTATTAAAGGCCGATTGTCATAGTTTGCGAATCGCTCGATTCGCAAACTATGACATCGGCCTTAATACAATACAGGGGTGGCCAAAAAAAAGACACCTCACTCCACATTTTCGACAGCATTAATCGCATTTTGCCAATAAACAAAAGCAAACAAATCGACTGACGCGCTAACTAAAATTATTAAAGTGCAACATCTCTTACGGTAGTCTATCTAAAGGTTACATGACAGCCTTCTACACCGACGACATCAGAAGATTTTCCCACGGAAACGTGGTTCGCGATACGAGCTCAACGAGGTCGTCGAGGTACCATAGACCATTACGACGTCCCTGAAACGCTGGTCAAAAGCGGTTTTGCACAGTCACAGCTAATGTCTCTGGAAGCTTCAGCTGGAGCGATTACCATAAGACTCGTTGAGCTCGACGGTGGCAGCAGATGACGTTTTATTCTAATGACAGCGGCGGCACCGAAGGAGGACCTGCTTCTGCTCACGGGGGAACACGTAATCGTAAGGAATATCAAGGATCTAAGAAACTTACACTAGGCATCGCTACCCCTGTGCGAACAACACAAGTTCGAGTGATATGCGCCCATGGCAAAAGAGTGTCTCTTTTTTTGGCCACCCCTGTATGTGTCAAGTGTTTTAAAACTTATGGACCGAATTGATGCATACTTCTGCGCTCCGGACACCTTCTCATCTGTGGTAACATAGTGTGCTCTAGAAAAATACAATGAGAAGATTTTCTTCGAGAAAGCTTTGGGATGACAGCGCACAAAAGTACTCCGAGGATGAATTCGTCGTTAATTAAAAGCTTTGGCACACTTTCAAGGTCCACAGATGAGGAATTTATTCCAGGAAGGAAGAAATTATGAGAATAAAGCTGAATCACCTTATGGTGAGAAGGCAAAGTCGTCTGAAAAATTGCTACAAGCAAAGAATGCCGGCTTCTACGTCACTGAAAAGACCGAACGCATAGGGCAAAGGTGTAAGGTTAAGGCCGATGTCAGACTTTGCGAATCGCGCGATTCGCTAGCGTCTGCGGTCGCGTCGCGGCCAGTGAATCACTCAATTGGCTGGTACCGCAACGCGACCGCGGACGCTAGCGAATCGCGCGAATCGCTAGTAGCGAATCGCGCGATTCGCAAAGTCTGATATCGGCCTAAAGGAAGCATCGGCTTGAACCACAATAAGAAAGGGCTTGAATATTACAGTAATCAAACGAAGTGCTTAAGTACTTTGACAAAGGTTTTATGTGTCATATCGTTGCGACACACCTTAGTGGGCAAGAATTCTAATCCCCATGGAATTAGGACACTTATCACTGTTTTCCACCTAATACATGAAAGGGCACTGCTGCCCAAGCCAATTTCCACTACACTTAACACTGCTATGGGATCCGTAGACAAGAATTAAAACAGTATGATAGGTTGCTGGCAATGTATTTTTCAATATTTGTTATGTGCCGAATTATCCATTTTCAAGTAATAGTTTTTTATAGCATATTTACTAGTCGTAGCAACTTGTCTAGCGTATTGACTGTAAAGGTTCCTCGTCTTGTGTTCAAAAAATGTCTTTTCGTGACGGCTCAGGTCGAATGCATGGCGCGTCACAAATGTTTGATCTTAGCTCTGCACATTGTCACCGTTAGCCACCTTCGCACTCCAATCTGCACCCAGATCTGGTGGTCTTCGCATGCATCATGCATGCCCTGGTCTGGTCGTCTTCCAGTCGCTTCAGGAAGTCGTTTCTTTTTAATGCTGTCCTTCTATTTGACAATTAAGATTTGCTTATATTATATACATTAATTTCTTCTCAGTATAACAGTCGCCTCGGGATCCTAGCCTTAGGTCTTACTACTTTTCTAATAGTCTTAATAGTAGCTCATTCCTGGGAGTTACCACGTCTTCTGGTTTGGTGTAGTAGAGTAGACATACAGTAGCGCTCAAAAGTCTTCGGTGGAATACTTTTTCGACTGTAACTTTTTTCCACTGAATCAAATCGGTTCAAATTTTAATATGTTTTGGAGACAGTCCTCCCCACTTAACTGGCACATTTGTTTGGGTGGGAGAAAGAATTAAGAATGGAAAAAATCATTTCACTAGAAATTCTCGCGTATGAGCAAATTCCAAGTAAGTTTCAAATTACTCTAGCAAGCTTACAATTCAACAAAACAATCTTACGCATGATGAATAACACTGGGCAGGTCCAATACTTTGTTAATGATCTTCTGGGTTCGCTGAAATACTAACAAGGCCTAAGTAAGGAATCAGTCATTGAATGCACTGTCTACTAGGGCAGCTTCCTCCACTTCTCTTGAAATTTGACGAGTTTCTCGCCCATATTCCCGGCTCTTATTTCCACCAAAGGTATCCCTACCCTTTCCCATAATGTTTCGATGGCGCTCAGGGACATTGGTGTGAATTGTTCCCTTCGTTGAAAGCGCGCCATGCTGTCGAAACCAATCCTTCACAAAGGTGCAATGATTTTGGTCGCTCTATTGCGAGCAATCTTGCGATTCACGCAAGTTCAAGGAATAAATGAAATAAAACATGAACATAACATTTCATTATACAACTATTGAAAAAGTACGGCTCTAACGACATTCTGAACGTCTTCTGATGTAAATGCAAAAGGAACTTTGACTGCTCTTCCTTTTTGATCAACAATCTTTTCCAAGTTGGTCGCTGAAATAAATAGGATAAAACTGAACAATTTCGATCTGCAAAGGTTGTCATTCACTCACAGTTGAAGCCAACAGCTACAATTGTAGCATCACTATCCATTTTCCGTGGTTTCAGCACAGGTAAGTCAGAAGTGTCATGCCTGGAAGATCCCTTTAGCTATTTCTGCCTCCGCCAGCTAAATTCGGCATTTTGAAGAACGCCGGAAAACCTACTGTGCAGAAAGAAAGACCACGCAGTTGACATTCCTTTTCGTCGTCTTGTATTTTCCGTAGTTGTTGATTGAAGTTATTGCCCTGAAAAGTGTGCAGGACTACGGTAATATAGAGCGTACATCCTTTCATTTGCTAGAGCGCCACATGCCTTTCATTGCCATCTTCGGCGTATCGACCGCCTAGAGGTGAGGCCGCTTAACGTAATACACATGGGATACTAGTTCTCAATCTATCATGATAATGCTGTCACATTATGGCTTCATTTTCAACGAGGCATTTTTTCAGTAGCCGAAGGGATTTCTGGCATCGCCAATTTGTTAACGCTTGCCTGAGATTGACTGTACATATAAAGGGTTGCGTAGAGCTTCACGCAAATACTTCATTAGAAACGCAAAGTGCTATATTCAACCTCCTGTGTTATTTACTTGCATCGACTTGAAGCTAACGTTTGCACGACAAACAAGTGTGCCAGTTTCATTAATTGAAGAAAAAATGGTGCTATCGCAATATAAGTGGCACTGGAGTGTAGATGCATTTAAGTCGCGTTAAGACATTCTTTTTCATTGAGAACGGCACTAAGCGGGATGGAGGAGAGACTCCAAAGTGTGTGAGCCATTTTCGTTTTTCCGGAGCTCCTGCCCCCTACTAGGCTTAGTCTACGGGATGCCCCCATATATTGCGATAGCGCCAAAAAAAGCTTCTGCTTGGTAGTAGAACGACTTCTCGGTTACTCTTATCGCGGATGTCACTTTTTAGTCCATTGAATCATTTCTGAACGCAGGACAGCAACGAGCATTGCTGGCATCGCGGGGACCAATTGCTAGTACACTGGTGTGCAAAACTTAAGGATGAGACAGATGAAGTCATAGCCTTTTGATAGCTTTGTAGACCGTTTCATGGTTCCTGTTAACTGCTTTCGTTTAGTAGTGCTCGTGCAGCCATTGTATCGTTGGCTTACGCGGTCCCAGAGTCATGTTACGTAGCCAGTAAACGTCGTTGTAAAGCTATGTTTGTCCCTAAGTTTTGCACACCAGTGTACTTACACAAAACCATCACTTCAGTGCAGCAGCACCTATGCACTCTTCAATGTCTAAACGTAGGTATGTCAAGGCATGAAGCACTTGTGGCCTCTGCGCATTGATACAATGACCATTCTTTCATTGAAACCCTATTGCCACAAAGAGAGCGAGTGATCGAGTTTTCGACAGCATGACCAAGGAAAAGCAGATTTGCCTAATGGCCACACAAATTCACTAGCATTATTAGAGTAGTGGAAACCCGGTGGGACAGAACAATGCTTGTTAGTAATCGGCGCCATGGATTGAATGAAACTCACTTTTTCGTGTTCATTCCATTTCCTTTTGTAGTGACTTTCATTCTCCGTAAAGCACCGCTAAATCCCTTAAATGAGTCTCTGCAGTCCATTCCAGGGCCAGGAAAGTCTTTCTCAGCGTATCCATACAGTGCTAACCCTGCTTTGAACATTCCTTTTGCAGACCATTCGAAAATAATTTTGGTGGTGTTACCGATGAAGTATTTCTCCTAAAAACGTACATTCAATATCTACATACTTTGCAATTACAGCTCTTGAGCAATTAACGATTGATTAGCCAATATGACTAATACATTGAGAAAGAGCACAACAACGGCTAGAGAAAAGTCACGCTGGAGCCAGCTTTCAATTGGGACTTATTTTCCCCACTTTGACTGATCTTTATCATTAGTTACCCACGCCTTAATGTGGTAGTGTGACATACTGTAACTCGGATTGACGGAAATAGTTTTTGGGATGTCGAGCAGGTCTCCACTTCTACGCTTTGTCTACACATTGTGACTTCTGCACATATTGGGTTGAAACACGATATTGTAGTGTTTGCATTCACACAAACGTTTGAAGCAAAAAAAAATAGAACAAGGAACTAATCAGAAATGTTCTCTTCGACATTACCTATGGCTTTGGTTCTATTTTGCAGGAAATCAGCGACTTCAAAACAAAGTATTGAGCTTGTTTTGAAGTTCTCATTATTCACAAATTTCTCCGGCATAACATATGACATATGGTTTGAAATCAAAAAAAAAGGGGGGGGGGTAGTCATTTCGCGGGTATGGCTGTGAAGCAAGAGCTAAGATTAGCCTGTTGGGGACAGTCACTCGCCGACGTCGTACACGCGGCTTGCCGCGGTCGAAACCGCGCGCAAAATTATCGAGCGAGGTTTTAGGCATTTACTGCTTCCCGCGCCTGTGTATTCGTCAGTTACTTTCCTTTGTTTCCTTTTACTTTCGTTTTATTTTTCTCCCAATCCTTCTCGATTTTTTCATTAAATTTGACTCAAGCGTTCGCGTTGACACTAGAGCGTTCATACTTACAAGTGTTATGTGAGGTGGTCCCGGGACACTGTGGGTGAAATAGGATGATAGAAACTAATAAGGGCTGTCAGGGCGCCTTGAACTCACAAGTCCCCATTCCGTTGAGCAGCTGACATTGACACTTGAGCGTTCATAATTACAAGTGTTATATGGGGTGGTACCTGGACATTGTAGGTGGGCGACAAAAATGATAGCAACTGATAGGGGCTGATAAGGAGTCTTAGAAGGCAGAAGTCGGCAATTCCATTGCGCAGTTCACGTTGGCACTATGGGGCTCTTTTCATAAGTGTTATTAGGGGTGGGTCGTGACACATTCTATCGATATAATCAGCTTGGCTTAGCGAATGGTATCCAGCCTTGATCTAATACCAAGAAGACCAGAACTCATTTAATGACCGCCAAAGCTTAGGATTTGCGAACACTGTGAATGAAGGATCAGCATTAGATGCTCACTTATGATAATGTTGCAATTTAATTGTGAGGCTAACACCATAACCCTATTCACCGCTAAATTATCAAAATTCAGGAGAATGGCCGAGTGTTTACAGAGCTATGTGTGATAAATATACCTGGAGTGCCTGCGGAATCTTAGGTCGTATGATACGCGCGATACTGGGGAGCAAGCTGGATCCTTCTATTTTATAAAGCGCTAACTTTGTGTGTCGGTTTGTGTATCTGTATGTGTGTGTGTGTGTATGTATGTATGTGTGTCCGTCCGCAAAATGAAGTGAGTGAGAAGGAAGCTCATGGGATAAACAAACCGCTAACAAATCGGGTAGCTTACAGGATTTGAGATATCAATGTTTTGTAGCAGGATAGTTGTGATAACACTCTTAGGGCTATATAAACACCTGCTTAGCACACTTCCGTTCATTCCACATGGTGCTGCAGTGGCAGCTGGAGGGCAGTGGAGAGAGGAAGGGAGGATGAGGAAGGGAAGCGAAAAATCTACCGTCATATCATGATTGTGTCCCTTCTACTGTATGAAACACCATTGTGTTGCATACGCGTCACTTCCACGAGGTGTTGGTGTCACAGGAGGAAGGGACCATAGCGGAGGATAGAAAGCTTGCGCAGGAAAGGAAGGTCCCGGCGGTTGACGGGGGACTAATCTGGTAAATAAAAAAAGCATCTTCGAAAACTTCGTATTCTTGCCCTCCCGAGACGGTCTGAGCCGAGGGGCTATCTGAGTACGATAACGAATGTTGAGAAAATGACAAAACAGTGGATTATGGAGCACAAAAAGTATTGTGCATTTATGCGCTTTGTTGGAGCGACAATACTTAGAATTGTTAATTTTATGGGATTATTCTTCAAAAAAAACGCTACAATATTATGATTCGAACTCAGTTTTTGGTAGAAAAAATACAAAGATGATTGTTGAAGGCATGAATAGAACAAAACTTATTTGTCACTAAACGTCGCTATTAATAAGGGACAGGAGGCAATAGCGTAGAGCACCAATGCAGCATTCCGGTCGGATTCTTTTCAAAAATCAGCAAACGGGCACTGTCGTAAAAAGGGTATGTTGTTCGCAGTTCGGCCTCACTAGCCATTTATCTCAAGCTTCGGTGCATTCTAAATACATCATGCAGGCATTGCTTCTCCTGTGGAAAGAGAAAGTTCTTTCCCACATATGAAAAACTCAGTGGAAGTTGAAAAGCGCTCTTCCTGTGACATGTTGTTCCCATTGCATTCTCTCGAAATTTTGCGGCAACCTTTTAAGTAAAAGGAGTGAGATGAATAGAAATATGTACACATTTAAATCTGTGGCGGCTCACCTGCTCATATGCCGATTGATTTTTCCCGAAATTGTACAAGTCTCCAACAAAAAGACAGGTTAGGTTCTTCCCTGGGGTTACTGCAACAACTACTTTTCATGAGATTAAAATACGAGTTTTGATCGGACAGTACACTAGAAAAATATTAGGTTGAGCACTTTTCCACCGTTTCATTGCACTCAAATGTTCGTAATAACAAAAAAACCCAAATCCAAAACCACAACATATGAGCGCACGGCAAAAGGCTCCTCGAACAGTCCTCCTGCGACCACTTCTTCCAGGCATGCTTCTACGAGCAGATGCAGAACCTTTCGGTTCCGAGCTCAACTTGCACGCGTTGAATTCTATCTTTTTTTTGCTCACGTGTAGGCTGCATAGTGGAGTAAACACAAATGTTTTGTATACAAATTGTGCAAGAGACTGCGCATTTTGTAGATTATTGGTTGTTTTTTGAGGAAGTGAGTACCTTGAATGGTAGTTGTAGTTTCTGTTGTGGTAGACGGTGTCGGAGTGGTGGTCGAAGTTGTCATCTCAGGATGGGAACTGTCGAGTTGTCGGTCACGCAGTGGTCGGTCACCGTTGTTTGATTCCGGCGTGATGGTCGACGTTTGTCGTCTCAGGAGTGGTAACTGTCGTTGTCGGTTCAGCAGTGGTGGTCACCGTTGTTGATTCCGTCGTGATGGTCGACGTTGTCGTCTCAGGAGTGGTAACTGTCGTTGTCGGTTCAGCAGTGGTGGTCACCGTTGTTGATTCCGTCGTGATGGTCGACGTTGTCGTCTCAGGAGTGGTAGCTGTCGTTGATCGCCGTCAGCAGTGGTGGTCACCGTTGTTGATTCCGTCGTGATGGTCGACGTTGTCGTCTCAGGAGTGGTAACTGTCGTTGTCGGTTCAGCAGTGGTGGTCACCGTTGTTGATTCCGTCGTGATGGTCGACGTTGTCGTCTCAGGAGTGGTAACTGTCGTTGTCGGTTCAGCAGTGACGTTCGTACCGGTCTGTTGATTCGTCGTGATGGTCGACGTTGTCGTCTCCAAGAGGGGAAACTGTCGTGTATTTCCGGGTTTTTTCAAGGGGAGTGGGGGTCTCACGGTATGTATGATGATTTCCGTCGTGATGCGTCCACGTTGTCGTCTTCAGAGTGGAAACTGTCTTGTGCGGTTCAGCAAGTGGTAGGTCACGTTGTTGATTCCGTTCGTGATGCGCGACGTATGTTCGTCTCAGAAGTGTAACTGTCTTGTCGGTTCAGCCAGTGTTGTGGTCAACCGTTGTTGATCCGTCGCCTGATGCGTACGACGTTGCGTCTCAGAGTGGTAAACTGTCGTATTGTCGTTCAGCAGTGCGTGGTCACCGTTTTGAATTCCGGCGGTGATGGTCGACGTTGTGTAGTCTCAGGTGGTAACTGTTCGTTGTCGGTTCAGCCAGTGGTGCGTCACCGTTTTTGATTCACGTACGTGAATGGTTCGCGGTGTCGCTCTCAGGAGTGTTAACTGGTCGTTGTTGGTTCGAGAGTGGTGGTCGACGTTGTCGTTTCGGGAGTGGTGGTCGACGTTGTCGGTTCGGGAGTGGTGGTCGACGTTGTCGGTTCGGGAGTGGTGGTCGACGTTGTCGGTTCGGGAGTGGTGGTCGACGTTGTCGGTTCGGGAGTGGTGGTCGACGTTGTCGGTTCGGGAGTGGTGGTCGACGTTGTCGGTTCGGGAGTGGTGGTCGACGTTGTCGGTTCGGGAGTGGTGGTCGACGTTGTCGGTTCGGGAGTGGTGGTCGACGTTGTCGGTTCGGGAGTGGTGGTCGACGTTGTCCATTCAGGAAAGGTGGTCGTCGCTGTGGAGGTATCTATAGGGACTGTAGATGTGGATGTTGGTGCTAACGTCGCGGTGCTTGCCGGATGTGTGGTCGCCAGTGTCGCCAAAGTGGTTGTGGAAACCGTGGAGATGTTTGTTTCAGCTGCAGTAGTCGTTGTTTGTTTCTCAGCTGCTTGACCTGCAAGTAAAGGAGGAAGAGAAGTAATATATCTGCAGCTGCCTCACGTATTTTTTCCAAGAAGTGTGAGCGAAAAGCGCCTAAAACTTTTAAATTGTCTAATTTCCTAATGTTTATTCAATATCCCCTCAGTTCTGCCTGCGTTCTGTTACACGGCGAAGACGTGGGCCAGCAGTACATGATGTCAGGACCTTCCTGCTGCTCACACAACCCTCGAGCAATGTATTCTGAGAATAATATATTCACCCATTATCGAGCCGGTCTCCGCAGCGCAAACCTACGCAGAATGAAACGTGTCCGCGAAGCACGAATGTCAAGTTACGACAGGACGACCATACCTTGGAGAGATGATAATTGGTGCACAAGAAGGACGACAGAATGAGCCTCAGTAGGGTTTTCGCGGTTCAGAGGGAGAGCTGCGGCGAGAGAGATCAGGGGATGCGCTTGTCAAACACGCAAAACAGGTGCGAATGCAGCTGAACGATCGCGAAGGCGGACTGCTGTGCAATGGGCTATGGTCTCGCAAACGAGTAGATGTGGCAAGTGCGAATACATCGCACAAACCTTCAAGAAACTGCTCGCGAACCTTTCATTCAGCAATTAATGGCAAGCGTTGATAGAGTACGCGGTTAAAAGTATTTTTAGCCGCAGCATCGACAAAAGCAAAAACAGACTCTCAAAGAACTGGTTATACCATCCCTAAGCTGCGCGACGAATCTACCCTTGCGCCTTCTGGCTTCATGACTTCCTTGAAGAGGTCGCTCCGGATTATCGAATGGGTTTAGAGGTTAGTGTCTCAAGGCGAGTGCAACGGAATACACCTCATTATAGAGGGCCGGACCGAAACGATGAGCTTTCACGGTCAGTTTTTTGTTCTTCACGGGGTAATTTCGTAGATCCAAGAGTTCTGACAGCTGTTCGTTTTGTCACAAAAATGCTTTCTTCACGACGTCAGCAGTAGTAGGTGAGTCAGCAACTGATTCACTGCCCAGGGAATGGGTGCCATAGGTCCGGTCTTTGCCGTTAGGTAGAGGACGTATATATGGGGTACGTTAGGAGTTGATGCCCGCCGTCGCAGTATGAGTTCATGGGGTTCAGCATTTGAAAGTTTGAAGTACCTTTGTCAACTCAAGCGCAATATAGCGAATTTCAGCGCAAAAAACGGGATGAGTTTCAGAATGCCTCAGACGCTTACGGCCGTGGCTCACAAACTCTTGTC